TTCATTTTCTTCTTATTCATTGCTAATTTATAAAAATGAATTGACTTTTATGTATTGATCTTGTATCCTGCAATGTTGATAGACTAATTTATTATCTCTGTGTATGTGTGATTTCCTTAGAATTTTCTGTATACAAGATCGTGTCTTCTGTAAAAAGAGATAGTGATAGTTTTTCTCCTTCCCATTCATCTCCTCTTTTCAAAAATTTTATTTTTCTTGCCAAATTGCCCTAGCTACAGTGAAATGTTGAAAAAAATGGGCACTCTCTTCTTGGCACTGACCTATATAGGGGGGAAAGTTTTGGGAGGTCTGCTGTGGGTATCTATAAATGCTTCTTATGAGGTTGAGGAAGATCCCATCTAATCCTAGTTTGTTGAGGTTTTTTTTTTTTTTTTTAATCATGAAAGCATTTTGGATTTTGTTAAATGGTTTTTCTGTATCTAATGAGATGATCATGCGTAGCTTTTGTCTTTTATTCTAGTAACATGGTGCACTACATTGGCTGACTTACAGATGTTAAACTAACCATGTATTCCAAGGAAAAATCTCATGTGGTCATGATGTATAATCATTTTTATATTGTTGGATTCGGTTTAGAAGTGTTTCATTGAGGAATTTTATATCTACATTCATAAGGAATATTGGTCCGTAGCTTTTTGTTTCTTATAATGACATTGGTTTTGGTATCAGGATAATTATGGGACTCCTAAAATAAGTTGAGAAGCACAGTCATATATTGTTCAATGACAGGGAAATATTAAATTAGTTGATTTTGTTATTGTTCAAGCATAATAAAAAATGTATTTACACAAACCTACATTATATACTTTCCTATACACCTAGGTATAGCCTACGGCTCCTAGACTATAAACCTGTACAGCATGTTACTATACTGTATAGTGTAGGCAAATGCAAAACAATGGTAATTAGTTGAATATCTAAATATAGAAAAGATACAGTAAAAATATAGAATAAAAGCTTGAAAAGTGGTACACTGGCATATGACACTTATCACGAATGGAGTTTGTAGGACTAGAAGTTGCTCTGGCTGAGTCAGTGAATAAGTGGTGAGTGAATGTGAAGGTCTAGGACGTAACTGTACACTACCATAGACTTGATAAATACGGTACTTAGGTTGCACTAAATTTATTAAGAAATAAAGTTCTTGGCTACGATGTTAGGATGGCTACAAAGTCATTAGGTGATAGGAATTTTTTGGCTCCATTAAAATCTTACGGGACTGTTGTTGTTTGTATATACAGTCTGTTGTTGACTGAAACGTCATTATGCAGCATATAACTGTATTTCTTCCTGCTATATATTTTTTGTGGGGGGGGGCAGTTTGTGAGGGATTGATGTTAATTCTATTGTGGATGGTAGAAGTAATCAGCATTTTCTGATTACTTCTGGGCCTGGGCTTTTCTTTGTAGGAAGATTGCAGATTGCTAAATTAATCTCTACTTGTTATAGGTCTCTCCAGAGACCTATTGCTTTAAGAGTTTCAATTGTGTTGGTAGTTTGTCTGTGATGATTAATTGTATAAGTCAATTTGACTGAGGTCCAGATTAAACTTCTGAGTGTGTCTGTGACAGGGTTTCTTAATGAGATTAGCATTTGAATTGGTGAACTCAGTAGACTGCCTCCCACCATGTGGGTAGACATCATCCAATCCACTGAGGGCCTGAATAAAGCAAAGGGTGGATGAAGGAGGAATTCACCCCTTTTGCTTCTTGCCTTCCTGCTAGAGTTGGAATATTGGTTACTGGGATTAAGGCCATTGGCTCCCGATTCTCAGTGCTTCAGTTTTGAACTGGAATTACACCACCAGCTTTCCTGGGTCTCCAGCTTGCAGATGGCAGATTATAGGACTTCTCAGCCTCCACAGTCACATAAGCCAATTCCTGTTAACAAATCTTTTCATATACCCATATATCTCCTATTGGCTCTATTTCTCCATAAAACCCAGATTAACACAGTGTCCTTATAGAAATGTGTTCATCTATCTAAGCTAACTAATTTGTTGGCATACAGCTGTTCATAGTATTCTCTTACACTCCTTTATATTTCTCTAAAGTCAATAGTAATGTCCCCTCTTATGTTCTGATTTTGGTAACTGTAGTCTTCTCTGTTTTTTTACTTAGTCAGTCTAGCTAAAGTTTTGTCAATTTTGTTAATTTTTTTCCCCAAAGAAGCAACTTTTGGTTTTACCTTCTCTATTATTTTTCTATATCTCATTTATTTTTCCTTCAATCTCCATTATTTCCGCTTGCTTTGGGCTTAGTGTGTCCTTTTTCCAGTTTCCTAAGCTGTGAAGTTAAGTTATTGATCTGAGACATTTCCTCTTTTTACATGTAAAAGTGTACAGTTATACATTTCCCTCCGAGCATTATTATAGCTGCCTCCCATACATTTTTAATATGCGGCTTCATTTTTGTTCATCTCAAAGTACTTTTTACTGTCCCTTGAAGCATCTTGATTCTCTGGTTACTAATAAGGGCACTGTTTAATTTCTAACTAAACTCCCAAAATTTCCTTTTGTTATTTACAATTACATTCTATGTGAGCCTGGTTGGGGGAGGGCATGCCTTAAATGCGCAGGCATGCGGTTTAGAATTCTGCCTTAGCCTTCCCTTTCTGCTTGCACAGAGTCTCAAGGTCAGCCCGAAGTGAAAGCTGAGGACCTTCTCAAGTCTTTCCTGAGAATGCGCCATGACCCTGTGCATGCACACAGCCCTACATATACCCTTAGCCTTTTAGATTCCCAGGAAGATATAGGAGCTTTCTAATGCCCACTATGGATTATCATTCTCCAGCTTTTCCTTTTAAGTATTTTTAACCGGCTTCTTGTTTGCTCAGCTGTTACTGCTGCCTCAGGTAGCAGGGATATTAAATAGTTGTTGCTGGGTGCTTTTGACTAATACTTATGTAAAACCCTATTTGCACTGAGCAAGGTCTGACTCAGGTGAAATAAGTCCTTAAAATGGTGGTTTAAAGGAAACTGCCAGGCAGGTCACATAATGACAGTCCTCTGAGAATTGTGTCCGGAGATGGCAGTTTCCAGTCTATTCTGCTCCCTCCAGTGGTGGCAAGGCTGCTGGTGTTCACCACAACTAAAGAGTTGCTGGTTTTTAAGACTACTGTGTTGCTGAGGAAGGAGGAATGGCCATCTGGAAAGTTAAGTGCCACAAAACCTGCTGTTCTTACCAAGATTCAGCTGTTTTTCTTGAGTAAACACTCCTTGAATTGTTGTAAGCCTTTGGTTAATTTCCAGAATCTGGGAAAGTTCATTTTGACTATTTTTGTCAGTGTTTTTGCTACTTTGATAGAGGACGTATTTTTGGAGATCCTCTGTCATTCCTGCTGATGTTCTAATTTCTTATTTTTAAGTTAAAAATATATATACTTGAAAGGCCTAATATTTTCTCCCCACATTTTAGTACATCATCATTTAGGAGGCTACCAGGATAAAATAAAATCTTTCTTCAAAAAACTCAGTTGAGATTCATATTAAATCTGAAGGCCATGTCACATGGCATCACATAATTATGAAGTCTCCTTCTGGCATTTCCAGACTTCTGTGGCAGGTCCACTCCCTTGGCCAGTTGGGTTGAAGCTCCTAGAATGATCTGACACTTCCTTTACTCTCCCCTCCTCCCACTAATCCCTCAAGTCTTCCTTCACAGTCCTAATCACACACACCTTTTTCCATTACCATGCACTATGACCTCTTGCCTGCCACCAGTCTCTCTCTGCCCTGCTTATCAACAGTAAGTGAATCTTGACACAGACACCACTATATGAGTTCATTCCAGGCTCAAAGGTTTCCACTAACCTCATTTTATCTTCTGAATAAAACCTAGCCTTTTTAGTGTGGCTGCCTAGGTTTTCACAATTTGGAAGGCAAACAACTTCAGTTCTTGACTCTAGCTTAGTGTGTAACTATTGCATGTAGTTACAGAACATTACTGAGTGCCTACTATATGCTGAATTTAGAGTTAGTTCAGGGAGATATAGATAAGTAAACCTCTAGTTATGATATACTGTAGCAAAGAACTAGGTAGGAGGATCCATTAAGCAGGTATCTGGGAAAGTGCCTTTAAAATTTATAAAGAACTACAGATGTGAAGTGTATTACTGTTGTTTTTTCTTCTTTTTTACCTCTAGTATAATACTCTCAAAATTTAGTAAAATGTCAGTGGTGGCAAAATGGCTGTACAATAGACTTTCTTTCCTAAACATGAACAAGTGCTAAAGTGCTGTAAGAACCCTGGGATTTCTGCATAAATAGAAGATCACATAAATATCTGCTGGCCATGTAGCATTTGTTTCCTTATTTTTTTTTTTTTTTTGAGTTGGAGTCTCACTCTGTCGCCCAGACTGGAGTGCAGTGGCCGCTTCCGGCCACCGCAGCCTCGACCTGCTGGGCTCCGGTGATCCTTCCGCCTCAGCCTTCTGAGTAGCCGGAATTACAGGCATGCGCTACCACGCCCGGCTGATTTTTTGATTTATTGTAGAGATGAGGTCTCGCTGCCCAGGCGGGTCTCGAACCCGCGGACTCATGCAATCCACTCACCTCAGCCTCCCAAAGGCGCGGGATTACAGGCTGAGCCACCGAGCCCGGCTTGTTTCCTTATTTTTAATGCAGACGTCCTTCCCACTCTTCAGTACTGCGGCAGAAGATCCATGGAGAATACACATGCAGGGTCTTTCTGAAATGCCTTAAACATCTCAGTTATTATCAAAACACTTGTTTAAAATGAATAAAAATGAGTAAAATTATAAAGACACTCTCATTTTTCATTATCTATGCATCTCAAGTCTTGGTATCTTAATTTGACTGTTGGTCAACTGAATGAGGAAACTTTATCTCAGTTGAGCGTTTTATGGGTGCCTTTTATGAACAGAGTTCTATAGTCACACTGGGAAGACATTAATGATTACTGTACCTCACCTTCATAATAAAAAACAACCATGTGAGGAAAAGAAAAGCAGTAACTTACGCTCTGTTTTTAACTGTCCAAGGATGGAATTTTCTCCTCTGCACATGGTTCTGAAAATATATAAAGGAAAGAAATAATTATGGAGGTTTCAAAACAGCCAACCCCGATTGTAATATCTGTAGGTTGAATCCTAACCCATAAAAACATAGCATGAGAAAATGCTACATACATTTTTAAAAGCTAAAGAAACGTACATGAGTATCACTTTTGTAATGTCATTAATGGGACAAGGTAGTTATTTTGAGATGGGTAAATGAGACAGTTATAAAATTGATGCTAGATTTCAGAAGCTATTTTTTAAAAAGAAGGGTTAAAAATGAACTTTCGCTCCTACAAAATTTGGTGACAGCAATGACAAATTTAGAATGTGTCAGTAGATAAGAGTACTTAGAAAATCACATTGCTTTCAAAAGTGGCAAAGGCAACCATTTGGCAGAATAATTTATGAATTAAACAAACTATTATAATGGGCTGTATCTATAAAGTGAGCAAAGCCCCTTAAAGGAAAAATATAGTCTCAACTGACTCCGCTAATGATTTTGTTTCTTAAGACTCTGATTATAGTTGATCAATTATAAAAACTGACAAAACAAAAATTCTATGTTCCATCTGCTTGCTCCACAAAAGAAGTCAAAAATACACTTATGCCTGGGAAATGCTAATATTATTAAAGATGATGCTGGTGAATAGAGATTTTTTATATAAAAGATTATAGGTTTGGTTGCTGAACAAAAGTGAAATGTGTTATTTAGCTGGCTCAAACTTAAGAAAGTAGTCATAGAAAATAATTACAATTGACAGTATTCCAAAAATAATATAAGAATGGCAAATGAAGTTGATAAAATTCAATTAAACACTATGTCAGTGCCTCAAATACTTGGAAAGCTCTGCTTGTCATGCTATAAACCAGACAGCATTAGAAACGGGCAAATCTTCAATCCAAGTATATAGACCAAAATACAGTTAAAGCTCTCTCATAGTATAACTAGGCAAAATTACCCTAGAGGAAACAAACAAAAGTCCTTCTTTGAAACCCTGGCAGAGAGACACAAGCTTTAAAGGTCAATGAGAAACAAGATGATTTTTAAAAAATCCAGCCCAATGGTGACTCAAACTGTGCACAGATGCCGCAGGGGTTCTTCTGGGCGAGGGGCCCAAACAAGAAGGCATCTCTGTCCCCACGCCTAACTGGACCAAGGCCCTGAGCCCTCACCTGCTCCACTCATGGAGGAGTCTATGGAAGGTCTCAGGTGCCCTCTCCTACCCTTCAAAGGGTTTGATTAGAAAGGTGAGAAACTACAAATGGTTCAGAAAAGCAAGAAATATTAAAAGAAAATAATGCAGGTTCTCATCTTTGCTCTGTTGTATTAAGAGTGTGATCCTGAGTAGGGCTCTTTTGTATCTCATACAGCTTGTAGCTGGGGGCTGGATTCCTGCCCAGGCCAGCTTGCACCTTCTCTCAGCTTCTGTTCTCTCCCCTAGCTAAGTGACACAGAGAGGAAGTCAGGGTGCCTTCTATCCCCTTCCATGCCGCCTCCCTAGTCTACCCAGCTGCTGGCACCTCCCAACCCTCTTTGCAATGCTCTGCTGGCCAAATCTGAAGTCTCAAGGAAACCTAAGTGTGCCTTTTAAAATAAATATGAAAATAGCAAGTACAGGACTTTCCTTAAAATTTTAACAAAGATGTGATAGAGAAAACAATGAAAATTCCAGGAGATAGGAACAGAGGCTATTATTACCAGTGTTGCTGGCGTACGTGCAAATCATACCACTTCAGGCTTTCAATTGTGATATTTTCTCTACTTATTGCAGAGACTATATAAACTCAATAACTATTTAACTGCTTAAAGACAATTTTTAATTAACTTTCTGTATATAATTAGACAATTAAGGTAAAAGGACTAATATTTTAGCTATTTTATACTCACCCTGTGTCCTCGGCCCACCATTTGATCATTTTAGAATCTATTTGAATCTTATCAACTAATAAACAGGCCAAGATTTGAAAGTAAAAACAAAGTGTTTATCTGTTCAACGCTGCACTGAACCTTCACCAGCTTAACAGGTACGGCTGACTGAAAGCCCAAGACAATGTAGAGTTCTGGCACCTGTAGTTGAAGTGCATTATGGCCTGTAGAGCATTTCCTCCACCGGTTGAAATGTCTCCTTCGAACCCTGGCAGGAGCGGAATCACAACATATACCCGGTATCTCTGGCTCTCCCTGCAAAGGTCAGATGCAGAGAAAGTCACCAAAAAAAGGTGAAGTATCAGTTTAACATGACGGCCAAGCCGTTCACACAGTTTTAAAGATTGAGTGAATGGCTTCTTGCAATACATCCTATCACATTTCAGGGCTTGGGTGGGGCCTCTGCAGCTGTGGCCAGAAGCTGCTCTCCAGGCTGTCAATTCATAGCCCAAACAGTAAGTGAACTTGGGAGCAAAGTGGAAATTTACTCATTATCTCTCTACAGCACAATCCTTTATAGGACAAAATTCAGTGTAAGAAAGTCTTGTTGGGATCCCATGGAAAGGGGAGGGGGAGATTACAACAAAGTTTTGAAAAAAGATGTTATGATAGTTATAACAAGTTATATCTCACAGTACCCAACTCAGAGCCTGGCAAACAGTAGGCATTCAGTAATAATTGCTGAATAAATGAGTTCTCATCCCTAGATCTCAAGGGCAAAAGAACACACGGGATCTAGTAAATTTTCCAACATAACAGTCATCATTATGTATTTAGAAACGCTGAGATTTCAGTTGCAAAATGTTACCCTGGGCCCTTTAAGAATTCTGAGTTACAAATATTTATTTTTAAATCCCCTTCACATATATTTATACGTGTGTGTGTGTGTGTGTGTGTGTGTGTGTGTGTGTGTGTGTGTAAACAATGAGTATAAAAAAGAGGGACTAATATTTTAATTATTTTATACTTGCTGTGGTTTCTAGATCCATCCCTTATAATTTTAGGCTCCACTTGTATTTTATCAACTAGTAAACAGACCAAGACTTGAAAATAAAATAAAAGTGGCCCACTCTCCCAACTGATTAATGTCAACCTTTGAAGGAAAAGGAATTCCACTTAGTGATTTAACAATAGAAGAAGAAAGTGTAGCTCCCCGCTTTGACTTGCATTCAGACATTCAAAAACTTGAAGAATTGTGTTCAAATTATTCAAATACTCCACTTATTTGGAGTAACAAACTATGAGAGTCCTTGCTGCCATCTATAAGATATACAGGAAGAAGGAGAGGCCTGGAAAGGAATGTGGCCAGTAAATCAAGTTAGTCACCTATTGAAAGGTGTTGCTATCGGTTCATTTTCAAGTTTGATCCAATTTAACCTTTTCAAAAGACTTGATTTATAAAGCTCATATTCTTCTATACAACTAAATTCTTCTTTCACTTGAGCCTTGTCACTTCTCTCTGAGGGAGATTTCATGACCCATGTCTCTGAACGTCAAGGTCTGCCAGGGCCTGTGGAAAGGGAAGCTGAGCATAGAAGTGCCTGCCAGCAGTGAAATCTACAGCCTGAGAGAGCTCAGCTGTGGTGCTGAGGAAAAAGGCTTACAAGTAGGTTGCTGCAATGGCATGGATTAATCACTAGATGGCAAGCATAGCTTGAGTCGAAAACAAAACATTAAAAGAATGTAAACTCAAAATTCGCTGCTTGATAAGGGTAAAAGGCTCACATCCCTCAATGGTGAACAGGATAGTGGGAAGAACAGAAAGAATACCCAAGCTATTTCCTCACAGCCAGCATTTAAAAGTCCAAATGAATTAAACCAAACGCTCAAAAATGAATACCATTTGGCCTCAACTGCGTTTTCCAGAACCGTCTTACCACATGACCCTGTGACAGGAGAACCACCACCGCCCTTTGTCCAGAGGTCACCTCCCTCCTGAGGAAGCTTGGCTCCTCAGCCTTCAGTGCTTCCAAGGAAGCCCACTTCTTCCAGGTTACCTTAAAGGTACTCCCTCTGTCGAACCATCATTCAGAATTGGTTTTTCTCCTGCATCTGCACTTCCATGGCTCACAATCCGGACGTCTACTCAGCACGCCCTGCTTCACACACCTGCTGCCTAGGCTGTGTGACAAGCTCCTCTGAAACACAGGATGTCTGTCCACACATCTTTCTGTTTTGGGCAGCATCCAATAGAGGACCCTTGCACGCATGATACACTTGGAGTTATCTGCTTTGGGAGGATGGGGTCAGGTTGGAAGAAAGTTTCTGGGGGAGTCTCTGGTAGAGAAGAAGTTAAGCTGCACAGGGCATTTTTCATGAAGATAAATTATATTTTAGTTAAATTTTTATTATGGCAGTACATATATAAAATTTGCCATTTCACTCATTTTTAAGTGTACAGCTCAGTAGCACGACCTATATTCACAATGTTGTGCAAATATCACAACTATTCCCAAAACTTGATATTCATCCCAAACAAGCTCTGTGACTATTAAATGACAACTGTCCCTACATCCCTAGCAACATCTAATGTAGTTTCTGTCTCTATGAACTTCCTAGCATTCGCACACTGAGTGAAATCATATAAGACCTGCTCTTTAGTGTCTGACTTATCAAAACATCCTCAAGGTTCATTCATGCTGTAATATACATCAGAATTCCCTTCTTTGATGGCTAAATGATATTTCATAGTATGTAAGAGGCAGCACCCCCAAACATTGGTGTTTTCAAATAAAAAGCTGTGTATTTATTCTGTAACCTTCAAAGTATTCTCTGTTTGATGCAATATACCTTTTAAGACACTTTTTCCACTGCTCAGAACAGTTTGAACTTGTCAATTTTGATGCCTTTTAGTGCTTCTGCTGTTGTTTCACCTCTTCCACACGGACAAAATGTTTCCCTTTGAGGACTTTTTTTATCCGAGGGAACAAAAAAAAAGTTGCTCTGGGTGAGACTGGATGACTAAGGAAGGAGGGGCACAGGGATCATACTATTTATAGTAAAAAACAAAACAAAACTGCTGAACACTCAATGCGGTGAGGACAAGTGCGCTCATAAATCACCCATCATGAAATGGGCAAACGTGGTGAAATAACCTTAAAAAAAAAAAAAATTCATTGAAGCTGAACGCAGCTTCTCACAAGAATGCTAGCTGGTACAGTGATGCGGATGGGTTCCTAGAACACTTACCTAGCAAGGGAAGCCTGTACTAGGGTTGTTTTACCTTTTGGCTATTGTGAACACTGCTGCTATTAATACTGACATATTGTACCTGTGTGAGTTCCTACCTTTAGTTCTTTTGGGTATCTACTCAGGAATGGAATTGCTGGGTCATACGGTTATTCCATGTTTAGCATTTTGAGGAACCAACAAACAAATTACTTTCTAATGGGTAATATGTGTTCATAGTACAAGATTTTAAAGTTGTAAGATTATATGGTGACAAATTCTCTTTCCAGTTTTTTCCCAACTCCCATCTGCCCTCCCTGAGGACAGCTCCTGTTACCTGTTACCTCCATGCTCCTTTACAAACAGTTCATGAATGTATAAGCATATATATATATGTACTTTTCATCTATGCAGATATTAGAGTACCATGAATACTTCTTTGAATGTTTCTTTTATCATTAACAAAGTGTCTTGGAAATTCTTCCCCATCAGAACATAGAGAGCCACTCATTTTTAACCACAAGGACACAGTATTCTACCATACTTTATAGTTAAACTAGTTCTCTTATCTTTTTCTTAATATTTAAACCAGTTCTCTATTGATAGGCATTTAGGTGGTTTCTAGTTTTTTTGATATTTTGAAATAACTATTTCGTAGTCAGGCGTGTTGGCTCACGTCTTTAATCTCAGCACTTTGGGAGGCGGAGGCGAGAGGACTGCCCGAGCCAAGAGGTTCAACACCAGCCTGGACAACTTGGTGAGATCTCATCTCTATAATAAATCACAAAAAATTAGCCGGGTGTGGTGGTGCACGCCTGTAGTTCTAGATATTTGGAAGGCCGAGGTGGAAGGATCGCCTGAGCCCAATAGGTTGAGCAGTGACTGTGAGCATGGCCACTGTATTCTAGGGTAACAGAGTGAGACTCTAATAAAAAATATTAATAAACAGCTATCTTGGTATTTATGCTGATTCACATAAGTAATTTTTTACATTTGTTGGAAAAATCTTAGAGATGGTAATACTAGTTTGAACATGACATCTTTGTGATGCTGTTTGTAAGAAATGATTCCATTTTATTTTTGCATGTTTTAAAAGCAAAAATGACTTCAATATGGAGATCTCATATGTAGGATATTGAAAAATGTCCTATAAAAATCTTAAAACATTCTTGGAAGTTTTGGTTTGTAGAAATCAGAATATCCGCATTTTCTCATTTTTAGGACTCTCTACTCAATGTCAAGGTCTCTATTTTGCAGTGCAGTAGTTTGTACATTTTCTGAATGATGATTTTAAACTGTGTTCAGCAAGTTAGCAGAAATGACTTAGATTTTCACTGCTGCAGAAAAGAAGGGCTCTGGAATTTCAAACCATAAAATGGTGATTGAATATAAGCCAAGTAAGAGAAAATTCTGTGAGATGGTATGTTCAAACTGTCTTCTTGATCTAGTCCACAGAGACAGCAGTTCTAGCTGCTGAGGATTCTAATCTCCTGAAACACTGCACTCTCATAATACTAGGGTTGTGCAAATGACATCAATCAGCTTAGGGTAAGAGCCCAAGTCCCTAATGTGCACAATTTTTATGATTTTAAGAGCAAGATAAGAGCTAGTAGGCACTGAGCCACAGGCATTATGCAGGCAATCACTTCAGTCACGTTAATTCAGAACAATTTTATACAATTATATTCTCAGACTTCTTAAAATATGACTTTCTTTCAAAACACACTAACTAAGAAAATGTGGTATATATACACAATGGAATATTATTAAGATTTTAAAAAGGAAGAAATATTTTCATTTGCAACAACATGGATGGAATTGAAGAATGTTATGTTAAGTGAAATGAATGAAACACAGAAAGACAAACACAGTGTATATTCACTTATACATTGAAACTGAAACAATTGAACTCATAGAAGCAGAGTATCCTGGTGGTTTCCAGGAACTGGGGGATGGGAGAATAGGGAGATGATAGTCAAAATGTATAGAGCCTCAGTTAGATAGAAGAAATACATTTGAATTTTTTGAGATCTATTGCACAGTGTGGTCAATATACTTAATAACTGCGTACTCTTCATTTCAAAATT